TATGTCCATATATATATATATATATATATATATATATATATATATATGGACATATACACACACATATATATGTACACACACACACATATAAAATGCCAGCGGTCCCAGAGCTGGAGGGGGAGATAGGGCACTGCACGTGTGGTAGCTGTTGTGGTGTTGGGGTCATGGGTACATCTGAATCTCAGAGGGGACTGACTTTGGGCAAGTGAAAAACACAGCTCCTCCCCTCCTGGGATCACTGTTTGGAATTTTTGTGATTTTTGTTTTCTCCATGTACTTTCTTTCTTCTCCTACAATGAAAGAAGGAGAAAAAAAAGAGGTTACACAGCTAGAGAATGCTTCCTTTTTTTTGTTGCAGGGGGTTGTGGGAATGCGTGCCTCCTCCAGGTCTGCTCTGTCTCATGAAGGAACTTGGCCTGTGTGCTTTGTTGGCCACATTGTCCACAGCCTCATTTGCTCCCAGCAGCTCTTAGCAGCTGCTGCATCTGGGATCTCAGTCACGCTGTTCCCTCTGATGGTACCCGACACCCAGCTGCACATTCATCCTAGTGAGGTGCAGCTGGTGCCTGTGGTTTTCTGCTGGGCTCTGAGAAGAGAGGGAGTGGGCATCTGGTGGAGAAGAGCCTACTGGTGGGACCAGGGAGAACAGGGACAAGGTGGGAAGGGAAATGGCTGTGGTAGGTGAGGCAGGGAGTAACAGTAGCTTGCGGTGCCTCGTGGCAAGGAAAGGCTGGGAAATAACAGCCCAAAAGAGAAGGCCTCAGAGGTCAGAAAAGTTACCTGTGGTCTCCTCGCCCTCCTCCCGCTTGAGTCACCCAGCGCCTGCCTTCCAGAGTGCTACCTTTTCTCAAGGCCCAGTGGAAGTAGATAATGATGTTAAGTGCTGTGTGTGCCGCAGTCAGGTTGTGTGCGTTCACAGAGTAAGTCACTCTGTCATTCATCCTGTAGGCGCTGACTGCTCTGGAAGCCATGACCCTGAGTAAGCAGTATGTGGACTACCAGGATCAGATACTGCAAGCTGTCCAGTTCATAAAGCACCCTGGCCATTGCCTTCAGAATGGGAACAGCTTCCTGGCTCTTCTTGTTAACTGTCTCTACCCAGAAGTGCATTATCTGGACAACCTACGGTAGTGGTGTGGAAGCCCTTGAAGCGCTGTGTGGCCCTTGTGTTTACCTCAACTGTGCTATTCTCGTGTTCCTTTGTTCAGTGTCACTGCAGAGCTCAGTTCTGCCAGGAACTCAGCTGAGGTGCAAGATGGGAGGCAGTAGATAGCTTTGGGTGTCTGGTCACCTCTCACGATCCAGGGACTTTTTAGCGTTTATGTTTGTCCACAAGTGACGGTAAGTTCCACTGAGCACAGAACCACTCACATTTGGGGAATGTGCCAGTCAGCTCCCTAAGAGCTACAGAGTGTGTGGCATGTCTGCACTTCTGCCTCCCTGTTTGTGTAAATGCCAAGACGCCTCTGGCAGATCGGACCACGCTGGGAGTCATAAGAGCTCTCTTTTGTACTCCATTTGTATTCTTCTGACATAAAGGAAATCAACTTGGGAAATTTCTGCATTTCTCAAATGTGGGGGAACACACCAGCTTAAAATATTATGTTGTTTCTCTTAGAGTGGAGAGGATACACTGAATTAAGTCAGGAGTGGTGGCCCACACCTGTAATGTGAGCACCTAGGTGACCGAAGTGGGATGCTTACACGGGTGAAGCGGAGGTGTATGTCAGAGTGTCTCGACAAGCTAAACAAAGAGGCTGAACTAAAATGAGTCCTGTGGAGACCTGCCGCACGCAGCCTGACCGAAGCGCGGAGGCGGCACCTGCTCTGGAAGTGTGCCTGTCTGAACTGACGTGACAGCTGTGCGTGTGTACAGCTGGGCCTTACTTGGTCCTTGTAGTGTGAGCACTGGATCCCGTTGAGGCTCCTCATTCACATCAGTGCACTGGCCTTGTGTATGTGGGCATTCCCAACTCTTGACATGTCAGGGCTGTCTGCAGGCCCTACTGTCAAGGGACAGTAGGGGCTCTGGTCTCACAGACACACTAGAACACATGTTCAGGGAGAAGGGGCCAGGTCAGGGGAGTTTGAGAAGTTTGGCTTTTTCCAAGTAGCTCCGTGCCTTCTGTCATTGCTGACAGTCCATATTGCCAAAGCCCGTCTGGCTCTGTTCCCTTGACATCTCTTGCTCACGTCACTTCCCGCAGGATTGGCAGTTTGACTTCTGTCAATATATGCATACTTCTGAAAATGGCCCCAAATGGATTTTGTATGTCCAGCTTACAATATGTGTCTGTTTTTATGGGTTATGGCCAGAAATATTGTGTAAAATCTCTGGGTATTCACCAAGAGCCTTGACTAAAGGTGGGGTTATACAGCTGGTGGGGCGCTTCTCCCATGTTTGGAACCTTGCACGAACTCCTTATTGGACAGAGCTGTTCTGCCTAATGGACATGCCTTGGAGCACTGATAAGGGCGTCCCTGTTCAGTGGGACAAAGTGTCATTGCACAGGGATGTGTCTCAGCCTTCTTTATTTTTCCTTCTCTCTGCTTTCCAGATCAGTCATCCTCACTCCAAGTAGAAGAAAACTTTAGATTCTGTGACCAGGAAATGCTGTGTTTGCATTGTTTCTCTAAGGAGAACCAAGTTACCAGAACCCTAGAATGTGACGTGTGAGTGGTAGTATGCACAGTGTAGAGAATCAGCTAATTTTGGAAATTTATAATATTTGTAAATTTTGTCTGTAAAAAGTATAAACAATAAAATCAACCTTTGATTGTAACTGATGAATCTGAATTGAAGGCTGATGTAGATTTTTATGCCTGATATTAAATTTATTTGGCCTTGTAACTGATTGGTAAAAGGGCCGCTTTTTCATCCTTGTTTAACATCTGAGAGTTATTTCCTCAGATTCTATGAGAAGCACTACACTATGTGCTTTAAAAATATGTCATAATTCAGAATAATGGGAGCAGGCTTGCAGCTGGCTTGCTGTGTGAAAGATAAACCAGGCTTTGCTAGGAAAATGGTTCACTTTCAGAGTGCAAGGCCATGGTGTCAGAGACAGTGATAGGTACTGGACGTCCTTTTCAACAAGCAAGGCCACGGCCTGAGCAGTGTGGAAGGCAAACCATCACAGTGCCAGAGGCTCCTGCAGCGCAACATCCAGGTCTTCCCGGGAGCAGAAGGGGAGTGTTGGCTCTCCAGGCATTGCTCACACCTCAGAGTGCACACATGGGGCAGAGAGGTGGCTCTGGCCTCCCCTCTCCTTGCTCTACAGCCTCACTAGAATAGGTGACAGCAGGGTACAGTGCATTGGGGCCTGTGATGGCCAGCACCCACCACACAATTTCTAAAGCTCTCACGCACTTGACCTTGGCTCTGAAAACGACTGGTGTCTTGCTGGTTAAGCCTCCACCCCACCTGTGCTGTGCCCAAGTCTTCTGTATTTCAGCAGATTTGAAGTGTAGACACTCCCTGCAATCAGCCAGCAGTCTTGCTCCTCCAGGGCCAGCTAGACTCAGCTCTAGTGTATCTAAGCTCTTTGTCCAAATCAAGCTGATGATACTGGTTTTTATTCTAAAAATTACTTCTTCTGACACAGGAAGTCAATGTCTTGAATCATGGACAAAGTTGGGGCACATTGAATACCTTGGTTCCCTTAATGGGGATCCTCAACTTTTCCTCCACCTGGCCAATGTTGGCCGTGCCTCCGCTATGCCAGGGCTTTCTGGTTCTGCTTATCTTGAGCTTGAGTGGCTCCTGATGACCTTGTGTCTTGGTTGTGGATCTGCCTGGAACATCTAGACAGGGCCTGTTCTCTTTCTCTCAGTATACCTAGAGACATTTTCTTCTGTCACATCTCTGACCCCTTTTGCCTCACCCTTAGTCTGGGCTAAATGCTCAGAATCCTTAGTCCTCTTTGAACATGATGGCCAATAAAACTGCTTTTGGGGGCAAAGTGCCCAAGTCAGTCCATAACACTGTGCCAAGAGCTAGCAGCGCCAGAGCTACGAGAAGATAAAGGAGGCACCTGGGAACACATTTCAGTCAGCCCTCACAGGTGGAGAGAGACACACCTTTGCCCTTTTTGGTGCCTTTGTTGCCTTACCCTAGTCCCTGCCTAGAGCTGTCAGCTCCTGTGGGCCAGGCGGTGCAGATCGCCCTCACACACACTTGGCAGCATCGGTGCCCGGTGTGGTCTGCAGTTGGCACGCTAACCTCACATCTGGTTGGGCTGCAGACCTGTTTAATAACAGTCACTGTCCAAACCAGTTACACTGAGTGTCTACTTGGTCAGCGCAACAATCAGGCCCTTTGAACTTCATCACGTATTACTCCCTGCTCTCTTGTGGCTAACTTCACAGCTTAATTTTGAGGGAATAGCTGATGGTGTTAGGTGAGGCTCTAGACTTAGAGCCAGGCCCTAAACAGACTTCCACAGGATGCTCCTGTCTTAGAGCACGCCAGGAGTCCTGGGGCCAGGAGCAGGTCCCATGCTTCTCCACAGCCTCCTCCACAGCTCTCGGCACAGGTTCCTGGGTCCTCGTGAGAATAACCTGAAAACAATTTATGCTGCTCCTTCTTTAGTAATGAAAGTGGGAAGGAATGTTGGCTCTAACTTTTCGATGTATCACGTAATATCACAGAGCACTGAAGAGAATTTTTCTTTCAGTGGCTTCAGATAATTTATATTGGAGATCAGTCCTGTGGTATGTACACTTTAAAACCACAGTTTTATTTTGGTCATTAACTGTGCAATATTTCTTATTCATTGTTTAATATTTTCCATGCTTATTCAAGGACACATTTTTTTCGTATAATGGTGAGAAACTGGAAGACGTGAGAATTAGTTGAGTGAACTTCTGCAAATAAAGGGCATTGTGATTTACCCGTGCTGAGCCTGTATCATTGTTTTCAGCAAGTTGGTTGGCAAGCCTTTTCATACATAAATCACATTAACAGAACTTTTAAGTTAGTTGATTTATCATGGCAAAGGGTCTTTTTTTTTTTTTTTTTTTTTTTTTTAAATAATTCACCACAATGTTAACAGCTCTAGTTCCAAAGAGAAAATTTCTAGCTCAGTGTATGTGTGTATGTGTGGGCAGTTAGGATTCAATTCCTAACTGATGGAAGGCCATCAGAGGAGTACTTGATAGCTTTAAAGTGACCTTGACCCCTGCAGGAGGAGGGCCTTGAAAGCTGGGCAAAGGCTCACAAGGTCTGGGATGAACAGAAATGTTTGGGGTGCTGGGAGGCAAGAGTGTCTGGCAGAGCCCTACCTGAGTTTGCTCAGGGTCACTATAGAAATTGCCTTCAGTGTTGGTGAGCTGCAGCTTCCCCTTAGCATTGACGGTCATGGACACTAAAGAGCCATCTGCAATGAGCCGAGCTGTGCATGGAAGATCGGCAGGTGCCATGTAGAGTGTGCAGTAATTTGAGATTTTCCAAGGACAGAGCTTTCTGGGTGTGGGGCATGTCTCCCCATCCTTGTGTAGGATCAGCTTCATTTTCAAGAGAGAAATGCGTGGTTTAGGGGTTGACGAACCAGAAGGTTCCAGCTTGCAGCCTACATCACATTGGGAAGTGCGGTCTCAAAAGCAGTTTGTCTTTGGGATTCCCCCTCGACTCCTGGGGAGCTGAGTCCCAAATTCGATGACTTTTGGCCATTGCTTGTGTCTCTGGTCCTTGCTTGCCAGTGCTCAAAAGTTCATCATGAAAAAGGCTTGGGACTACATTGGGATCCCTAACACTCTGTGTGGTAGCTGCCTGGCTAATAAAGACTTCTATCAGCTTAAACCCATGTGCAGGCAGCCTTCTCTGGTGGATAGCCCCGTAACTCGGCAGCACCCTCTGTCCAGCAGTGTTCCACCCTCTCTGTCTACACCAAGCCTCTCCTTTATGCTCCAGAAACTAATAACTATTTATGCAATATTATGCCATCTTTGTTTGGGTGTCCCTGTGCTTCAAATACCCCTTTTTCTTGTCTTCCAAGCTCTACCCTTCCCTGTGGTCTCCCCCATCAATATAGCCAGTCCATACCATCTTCAGCCTTTCCAAGACAGGGTCAGCTATCCTTTTATGTGCATGATTTTAGACTCATTGTGTCCAAGCTTGAGAGTTTCTGAAAGGGCTTACTGTGGCGTCAATCATTCTCACTGTTCCTCACATGCCATTTAGGGTTGTAGTGCTTGCTCTCTTGGTTGAACAGGCTCAGTCAGCAGTAGGATGTCTTGTAGAGGATTTTTTACCCCCAGTCTAGCAATTCACAACATCATAGATGGAGTCCTGTGATCTGGGTTCAGTTAACAACACTGAACCTCCCTGCCAGTCTGTGAGAATGGGAATGGGGTGGGTATCATGGCTGTTCTTGGTTGTCAACTTGACTATATATGGAGTTAACTACAACCCAAGTGGCTGGGCACATCTGTAAGAGATCTTTTCTTAATTAAGTCATTTGAAGTGGGACAATCCACCTTTCCTCTGGGCCACGCCTTCTCGGCAGCCTAGAGAAAGACATGAAAGAAGGAAGCTTGCTCTCTTTGCCTGCTTGCCTTTGCTTGCAACTCCATTCTTTCACTGGCTTTAAGGCCCAATTCTTCAGGATTCTGGTATATACTGAAGACTGCTTGAGACATCCAGCCTTGTGGACTGAACAACTATTGGAATATTGGAATTTCCTTGGGTAGACAGGTACTGTTGAACTAGCTGGGCCACAGCCTATAAGCCCTTCAAATAACACCCCACTTTCTTGTTCCCTTCCCCCTCTTCATATATTCATTCTATAACTTCTCTTCCTCTAGAGAATCCTGACTGATACAGTGTAAAATACCACTTTCACACACTGTGATTTTAGAGTTACTGCAGTACGGCCTAGCTCATCCTGACTGGCAATGATTTCTTCTTCAGTTTTGTAACCCCAAATACCAATTCCTAACACAACCCAGTATGTAAGCAGGAATTCATAGAATTTTCTTGGCTATGAAAACAGCTTCAAAGACCAGTGATGTTCTAATCCACATTGTAAGCACATCCCTATCTTTTTCCTTGGTGATACAAAGCCCTTGATGGAGATGTTCTAATGCTGTCTGCAAGGAGGTCCTGTGCTCTCTCAACAGCTCTTGCTGGAGATAACTATGAGCTGTCATCATCAGTTGCCTGGAAACCCACTACGCTCTACCTACAGAGACTGTCCCGGGAAAACATGGTCTCTTTAGCTTTCTGTCTCATGGGTTACTTGGTCCCAAGTATACCTCTCTCCTTCTTTAATGGGATCAACAATTGCGCACCGAAGTGTAAATAATGAAAGCACGTTCTTGAAGTCAGCCTGGCTGGGCTCGGGCACGTCGGGAGAAATTGCCAGTGCTCCTAGATTTTGCACATCCTAGGAGGGTATACACTGTGGAGAGAGGTCAGAGCTACAGCTGAAGGGGACCCTGTGCCCCTTCAGGTCTCCCAGTTCTTGACATACGGCTTTCAGATGCTTTGAGACTGCGGGTCTTCTTCTCTGTGTGGGGCCCAGCTCAGAGCTGATGTGCTCACTGGTGGGCAGAGGGCTGGGCCAGCACTGTAGAGATCACAGGAGGCAGGGGGTCCCAGGCCTCTTCCTGCTGTCAAGTTTTTAGGGTTTACCGTTCCTCTGGCTAGTTCGCACAGCTCCAGCCCCAGGCTGTTCTCTGGGCCCCCCCACAAGGCTGGGCCGTCCACGCTCACCTGAGAATTCTGCATGTCTGGAGGCTCACCTCTGAGACAGAGTTGTAGTTTATGCAGCCCCTTTCAGAGCTACTGTTTCCACAGCTCCAGGCTGACTGGCTAGTGAGTGAGAAGCTCAGCCTCAGAGAGGTGAAGGAAGCGTCCTGGTCCAAAATGCAAGTTGGTGCCAGGGCGGGCTGGAGCCTGGACCTCCAGACCTTATGGCTAGTTTCCCGTCTGCTTTACTATGTAGTTCTAAGTAAGAAAAAACAACGGGTGTTTTTCCAGAAGTTTCATGCTGATGCTCATGTGGGCACACATAGACATCAGATTGCTGTCCCACTGGCATAATTCCACAGGGCTCTGAGCCTCTGTGAGCAGGGTCCTGGGCCCCTCAGACATTGCCTAATCCACAGCTGCCAAGGAACCTGGGAATTAGGAGCTGTACAGGCCTAACCTGGTACTGTCCTTCATTTCTCTTGGCGAATGACTGAATGATGATGGCTAAGGAGTTCCTCACAGCAAACACGTGGCAGCTGGTGGCCTGCAGGATTCACCTGGCTCAAATTTTCGTAACTGGACTCCTGAGCCTGAGACCTGCAGACAGGAGAAAATTGGCTTACTACCTAGTATTAGGCGATGTCCTTGACTTCCCAAGCTGTGTCTCAGCAACAGGTCAAGGAAGATACATTATGGGAGGTCATGGAGCCCAAGCCAGCAAGGCTTGGGGACTGATTAATGCAGGACAGGGCCATGCTGCTGGTAACAGCATTCCTGACCACAGTTACCATCTCCTACAAAGTGACTTTGTCAGACGCATCAAAAACCAGCTCCATGTTGGGTGCGGTGGCGCACACCTGTAATCCCAGCACCCAGGAACTCACAGGTAGATTTCTGAGAGTGCAAGGTCAGCCTAGTCTACAAAGTGAATCCAGGACGGCCAAAGCTATGCAGAGACTCTGCCTTGAAAAAAAAAAAAAAAAAACCAAAACAAACCAAAAACCCCCAAAACAAACAAAAAATCTACCTCCATGTCCCCAATCTAACTGCTTTCCAAACATAGACACTTCCAACCTCCCAACCACTGTGCTACATACAGCACAAATCTTTCCTTACCTACTTTCCCCCTCCTCATCTCTGTGACCAGGATTCAGCTCCAACCCTGGCTGTCCTGTTTTCCTCCCTTATGCTCAGAAACCCCTTCCCAGTCTCTTCCTGGGTCTCCCTTCCAAGACCCTTCAGTTCAAATTCGACCTCTCATGCAGGATCCAAAACCTGATTTCCACCTCACTCAGAATCACCCCCAACCTTGCTGTCCCAACCCACATTTCCATGCTCCCCCATGCCTGCCTCCCTCTCACATCCCACCTGACCTTTTGCTTGCACTTCTCACTCCTGGAGCCCCCCAGGCTCCAACCCCAGCTTGCTTTCGTCAGGGCCAAGTCTTCAATGAAAATATCCTGATCTAAAAGAGTCACAGCCAACCGGCCACCTGTTGGGGCTCTATCCACCGGGCTCTGCTTTATCATGAGATCCAATTCCTTTACAATCTCAGATGGTCTTGGTATGTGTTTGTGAAAAAATGTGTACATTGGACAAAAATCCATAGTTTGGATTTTTCTGTCACTTTAGCATCCAAATTATCGCCTGCCATATTGTAGGCATTTGGTAAATATTTGTTAGATTGGATGCACAGCAGATAGTGTTGTGACTGTGGCCCTGTTGTGCAGCCATAAAGGAAATGCTATATGACAGGCTGTCAAGACTTGAGAAGCAGCTGGAAATATGTGCCCTCCCCCCACCCCGCAGCCAGCACCAGGCAGCTGCTCTAGAACTGAGTCCTTTCTCCCTCAACATGGGCTGTTATTTGGGTAGACACTGAAGAGGAAAGAGTGCACCCTGGGCTAACAGTGTCTTTCTAGATCCCTCATCTAAGCCAAGTTCTTGGTGATTTTGTTTGGGAAGCAGTCAGCAGTGTGCCTGGGAGAATGAGTCTTCCTACAATGGTATCCTTATGGGGCGAACTCTTCTAGAATGCTGGGGGCAGCAAGAGGGAACAGCTTGGTGGCATTAACTGTTCAAGTCAAAGACCAAGCTCTTGTGTGATGGGTGTGTTACCAAGTCACTTGACCTGTCCAGAGGATGGTGTGCTGGATGGAGGGCTGGGTGCTTCGAGTGTGATCCGGGCCCTGGGCTAGCCTACCCTAGCCTTGCCTGCTCTTTCTCCTCGTACTACCAGGTCTGAAAAACTGGCATCCTGGGCCAGGGTAGCATGGGGAAGGTAAGTACTTACCTTGGAGGGGTGTCCTGGGTGATCAGGTGATCTGTGTGAGGGACACAGAGAAAGAGCAGGTGTGAATTTGCCTCCAGCCTACATGCAGACTTCATCCTCTGCCCCACCCACTGTGAGACGTGGTCCCCAGGAATGGGCAACAGGCAGCAGGTGGGAAGCTAGCTGGATTGACTATGAAGCCTTAAGCGGGTGAATAGGAGTTAACATGGGGTGAGGGGTTAAGGGCGATGCGTCCAGCAGAGCAAGGCTGCTTTTCTGGGGATCTCGAGACACAGCGTGTTTGATAAGTTTGAGGAAGCAGCAAGAATGGCAGGGTCCCGGCAAAGAGCTGCTGGGACACTGACACAAATCCTGCATTCCATCCCTGGAGCGTTTGAGACTAACGTTATTGGTCTGGGAGGACAGAGAGGCTCTGAGAAGCTCCCTTCCTCTCTGGGGGCGCTCAGCAGATGCCCCACGCTGCTGTCATGGACAGCAGCCTGGAGAGGCTCTCTAAAAGTGGTTGCATTCCCCAGCCAGGTGTGCCATTCGTCTTCCAGGCTCACGTGTCTGTAAGGTTTTTTTTTTTTTTTTTTGTTTTGTTTTTTTGGCTTAGCTATCACCTAATTTACTACGGCCTCAGAATAGCAGGTTGCCTTCTTTCTTCTGCAGTTTCTGTACTCGTGGGGTACTGCAAAGGTCTGCGGACTCAGCCTCTCACAGGCTGGCGGGAAAGCACATCCGGGCATCTTTGTGTTCCCACCATCATGGCTCATAACCTCAAGGGCCTCAAGATGCTAGATAAAATGTAAGGGGAGCTTGAGGCCTGACCTTTACAGGACACTGACTTATGGTGTGGTGGTAAAAGAACGGACAGGACTGGGTCACCATTTTCACGACGCTGCAAAGACCTTCAAGCAGGTCCCACCTCGGGCCTCCGGGCAGAGTCAAGAAAGTGAGCTGGTGCCCGCGCAGGAAGGTTGTTCTGCCTCCCCCTCGTAGCCACCTAGATCTGAGGTGCACCCACCTAAGCGGCGGCGGGTGGCCTGAGCACCCAGAACACCCAGCAGCAGCAGCGCCTTGAGGCCCAGAGCGCCCAGCAGGAGCGCCAGGGTCGAGGTTCCGGGGGCGCCGTGGAAGCGGAACAGGTAGACGCTGGCCTCCGCGCGGCCCAGGCTATTGGCCGCCGTGCACGTGTAGCGGCCATCACGGGTCAGCGCGGGCAACTCGGCGGTCACCTGGTAGCCATGACCCTGGCCCCGCACCGCGGCCGAGCTGTTGCCCAGGGCCGGGCCCGACCAGGCGAGGGCAGGCGGGGGCTCCCCCTCGGCGGTGCAGAGCGCGCGGAAGGCGTGCGCGGGGCCGGGCAGCACCGAGACGTTGACGATCCGCGGCGCGGCTGCGGGGGAAGAAGGCCAGCGCGGGTCAGCCGGCGAGGCACAGCGCCCGCCTCACCGGGAGGGTGAGAGTTAAGCAAGGAGCAGCGCCCTCCCCGCCCCGCCCCCGAGCTGGAGGGGTGAGGTAGGGGAGTGCCCAGAGAGAAGAGCTGGGCACCTGGGCGCCAGGCTGCCCGGGTCCTAGTGCAGCGGCGGCCTTACCAAGCTATTGCTCTTTTCTGCCTCAGTTTCTCCATGTGTAAAATGGTGGTCACGACTGCTTTTAACTTACGGGGTCACTGAGATCTGGCAAACTAATACTCGTGTGTTGCGTGGACGGCTGGGCTTGCAGCAGGTGCTCACTAAAGGGGCACGACGCAGGGAGGGGTCAGCTGCAGCGTAGTGCGCTCCAGGGACCAGGGATGTGCAGGGGTGGAGGTGGGGGCCCGAGAAATCCTTCGGCGCAGGTGGCGCGCCTCCCACGTCCTTTACCGTCTTTAGAATTTTTGGTCGCTTTTTTTCTCTCCTACCTTGCCAGCTACCGGTGACGTCACCAGCGTCGGACGCCACTCATTGGCCCCAGCCTTTCCTGGGACCTGATCAGGTTCCGTATTTGTACCAAGTTCTCAGAGGCCTCCCTGGCCCCCACCCAGCCTGCTCTCGGGGACAGGAATGCGGGGAAGTCGGGCCCCTCGCCCCTCGGTCCCCAGCCCGCCTCACCAGTCACGCGCAGCCGGACCCCGTGACGACTCTCATAGCGGTCGTGGGCGTCGCCGGTGAACTCCACGCGGCAGAAGTAGCGGCCACTGTCTGCCAGGGCAAGGCGCTCGACGCGCAGTGACAGGTCGTTGTGGCGCGGGTTGCCCAGCAGGCGGAAGCGGCCGTGCAGGCTCAGCGCCGTCTGGCACAGCTCGCTGCCGGGCGCCGCGGTGCACCGGAACACCTGCGGGCCGGCGTAGGGCTCGCCCGCGCGCCAGATGGCGGTCAGCGGCCCGTCGTAGTGGCGGTGCGGGTGCGTGAAGGTGCAGGGCAGCATCGCCGCGTCGCCCGCCTCCGCGCTCACCTCCGCAGGCACCTGCATGGACCAGCGCTGCGCTGGAGCGCCTGCAGGCCGGGCGCACATCAGCCTGGAAGGACCCGGCCCTCGGCCCTGCCCACTCCCCTCCTGCAAACACTAGTACGCAGTGCCTTTCCGCTGGAAGCCCACTTTCTGACTTCAGAGGCATCCCCTTAGACCTGCTCTGCTGTGACTGAGAAGGGGACGTTTTGCCACTTTCGTGGCCTGTGACCCAGTGATTCACACAACCCTTTAGCATTTCCCCCCCCCCCCTCAGAAACCTGTGCAGTTGCTGAAAGGCTGTGCTATCCCGTGTTTACAAGAGTCTTAAGATGAGAACATTACTTACTGTGCGCCTCTGTGTTGAGCACATTCCCCAGAGTGTCTCTGCTAGTTTTCACAAGTGATCCTAGAGGTAAGTGTAGATAGTCTCTGTTACATGTTAATAAACCGAGGCACAAAGAAGTTAAATGATTGCGGCCATAGCTAGGTCAAGGCAAAGCCAGTTCAGAACCCCCTGGACCTGCAGCCTGCACTATAGGGTCCTAATTGTGTGAAGCTGGATTCATCTGCAGGCGCTAACAGTCTCATCTGTAGAGGGGAAACCAAGGCCCTGGGAGAGGATAGTGCTTTGAAGCACACATATTGGGTTGGTAGGAACAATCCCTTTAGAATCAGGGTCAGTCCAAGTGGACTGCGTCCTGGCTGGCAACTTAGAAGGCCAGTGCAGGCCGGGAAAGGAAAGACCAGAGTGGTGGGTGCTGTACTGCCTGCCCCTTGCTGTGTGCGGGCGCCTCTGATCAGCTCTTCTCAGTCTTCCTAATGCCCTAACCCCTTTAATACAGCCCCTCATACTGTGGTGACTCCCAGCCACAAAATTACTTTCATTACTACTTCACAAAGTGTAATTTTGTTACTGTTAGAAATCGTAGTACAATTATCTGATGTGGAGATGGTCTTAGGGTAAGACCCTGTGAAAGGGTCATTCAACCCTGTAGGGGGTCGAGACCTACAGCTTGAGAAGCATTTTTCTAGACTCACTTCGCACGACTCCCCCCCCCCCCCATCTCCCCGGTGAAGCACAATCTTCAGCCTGTGCTTCTGGTCCTCCTAGCACTGGCAAACCACAGCTGTGGCTGTGAGGGTGCAGGTACTCGGCCTCAGAAGGTTAGGCCAGGGCTGGTATCTCCCCAAGAGGAGGCAGGTGGTTGAGCCTGCCTAGCCAGTGCCCTGGGGCACAGTGCACAAAAGGGACCTTTAGAGGGTGTTATTAGAATTGTATGATACACAGTCCCTTTATATATACAGTGCCATGAACCCTGAAGGCATCCAGGAGGAGAAACACAGGGAAGAGTCGTTACAGATGTGTGAATGAAGGCCAAGGTCAGGCAAGTAGGAGACAGAAAAAGCCAGTTTTTCCTGCCGCTAAGCTCAGCCCTCTGTGGTCAGCCTCACTGACTCCTTGGGTAGGATTACCCTCAGGCCGCCACTTGTAGCTGTCCATCCTGTGGGTGGACAGGATACTCGTGCATGAGCCACTCCAGCACTGCCATTGCAGGAGCTCGTTGTGGCTACTCTTGGACTCATTTCCTTTTCCTGGTGGGAGAGGGTGGATCACTTGCCTCTCCTCACCTTTTCCCCTTTCAGTTCAAGTCCTGCCCCAGGTGGCCCAAGTGAGTTGCCGCTGCAGGAAGCAGCGTGGGCTGCATGCTGACCCGCCCGCCAGTCGGAGCCTGCCGTGGCGCGCCACCACAAAACCAGACCTTAAACCACGCTTCTTTTTTTCATTCTGCCTGTTCTTAGGCTTAATCTCTTTTGCTCTGGACAAATTTAATTACACGTTTGAATTCGAGTGGAGGGCTTGACATTTATCCTTAGTAAGAACTTGTTTGTTCAGTTGTTAATAATCAAAGGGCTGCCTTTCAAATTCGGGAGACCTGTCTGAAGATTGTACTGATCCTGGAAGGACATCTAGCTGAAGAGTCTCCTCAGGTCTGTCTGTCCATCTGTCTGTCTGACAATGTAGCTCAAGCTGGCCTGGAATTCATTGTATATTCCAGTCTGACTTAAATTTATGTCAGTTCTTTGCTGTAGTCTCTTGAGTTCTGGATCACGGGCATGAACCATCATGCTCCTCTGATTAGTATGCTTGTGTTTGGATTGGGGTCCCCCTATATAACCCAAACAGGCCTCGAACTTCCTAAAAGCTTTCTAAAAGCTGGGATTATGGCTGTGCACCCTCAGCACCAAACTCAGTTTCCCCTCACTTCCTGCCCTCTGTGACCTTAGCCTGTTTTGATCTTTGCGTCTTGCAGGCTCCCCAAGTCAAAGCGCTGGCTGCCTATGCATTGTCTGCTACTGTGCATTCCTCAGTTCAGCCAGCACTTATTGGGTGCTTCCCTACTCCTGCCAGGTGCTGAGATTTGAGCTGTAGAGACAAAGATGAACAGGGTACCCGCTCAGCCTGCCGGAGCTCTATGGAGAAAGATCAGTGAACATGTAATTATGCTGCCCTCTGCCAGGTGCTCAACTGAAGCACACAAACAAAACTGCCTTTGTCTGAACAAGTGGCTCCTGGCCCGCTTCCACTCACTGGCCCCCTCCTATTCAACCTCTGTTCTCTGTAGAATCATCTCCTGCCAGAATGTTCCCCTCTGAGGCCCCAAACCTGGCTCTAGCGTCTCTCTCCCCTGTCCCCAGGGCATGGAAGAGGGGATAGGTTATCAGAAGGATGGGATTGGTGGAGAGAGTATACAGGAATTGTATGTAGCGGGCAGGCACTGTAGATCCCACCAGAGAGGAGATAAATGTGTGCAGAGAATGTTGGGAATTCCACCGGGACCTGGGCTAACAGTCTGTGCACAGGGCGCAGGGGGACCAAGCCTTATGGCAGGGCAGTGGGAAGACATGGCAATGTGTGCCTAGCACCCCAGCACTCAGGAGGAGGAGAAGGATTAGGAGATCAAGGCTACTTCTAGCAATAAGCTGGACAAAGAAAGCATGAGGCATGGACAACATAGGAGCAGGGGGAGCACGATGGGATATGGAGACCAGACTACTGAAGAACAGGGGCTTGTTGGGACTCACCCTCATTTCATTGAAAACACACAGCAACCCATGAGATTTCATCACTGGGCCATGTGAGAGAAGGGGGAAGTGGGGCTTGGAGAGCCCAGTGCCTTGTCAAGGTCAGTCGGTGACTCACTAGGAGCAGAGCCCCAGCTTGCTCCTGGGTGATTCTGCCTCCCTTGTTCATATTCTTTCCTTAACCCCTTCCAGTTGCTTAAGAACGGGTGTAAAAATATTCTTTTTTTTTTTTTTTTTTTGTTTCCGTGAGAAAACTGTTGATTAAATAAGCTTCATAGGAACAACTTATAAATTTTAAAGTCCAAAGAGACTCTGGATTCTTTTTTTAGAGGCTGGATTAGGAGGTATGGCATCTCCTTGCTACTTCCCCAGCCTTCTCTGTGACACACGCAGGAGCGTTTCAGCTCACACAGGAGGTTTGTGAAGCTTCTCCACTGGGCCCCCATCTGCTCATTCGCTTGTCATGCCTGTGCCAGTGACGGCAACATTTAAGATTTTAAAGGTAAAAACCACCAAAGCGGGAGGAGGCTTTAAAAAAAAGAATACACATTTATATTGAAGTTTGGGGGAAATTCTCCTAGCTACCCACAGCCATGATGAGCTCTGAAATATCACAACAATGACAAAAGTGGGCAGAGGCAGCCAGGATCCCCGGTAGGCATGTAGGGTGGGCTTGGCATGCTGGTGGTGTGTTCCTTCAGTGAGAAGATGGGAATAGAGGCTTAACTTCGTCACTCTAACATCAGGGGATAGGCCTCTGTGGATTCCACCCAGATCTATAGTCTGCTGGGAGATATTCTAAAGTGTGATCTGAATGGCTCTCAGGTGGAGTTTGCTCTAGGAGCCAAAGGAAACATAAAGACCCTTTCATCAGAGGCTTTGTTGTGGCTCCCATTAGCAGGTATGGGCTCCCTGCTCACTTGCTGAATGCATTCATGAGCGATGCTTGGATCCTGTCCTAGGCAGGGTCCTTTGGATAAGCCCACCCAGAGGACTCAAGGTGAAGGTAAGAGTCCTTAGCAGGTTTGTCCAGAGACCAAAGGCATTTGCTTTGGCCGAGATCCTAGCTCCTGGCATCCAGTGACATCTACCATTGCCGCTGGCAGCTCTTGGCTGCCTGCTAAGAGGTGGCAGGGCTGACTCCTGGCCTGGGACTGTGGTGCTTTCTGTAGGGTCCTTCCTGTGAGCATTGTGTCAGGAAACCTCCAGGGGTCAATGGAAAGCCCACATTCTTGTTGCCCAAAGTATCTGTCTCGGGTGGTGGGCCACTAGGCATGGTGGGGACACGCCAGCTTTGGTACAGCTGAACCGAGGCGGCCGTTCCATCTCTGATAAGGAAAATATAAACTGAAACACTAGAAAGGGGTTTATGATTATAAGGCCATTTAAGGCAGTAAGGAATGACAGTTGACGTTCATTAAACCTGGAAGGAATCAGCGGAAACAGTGAAATCACAGAACAGAAATGATATGGTAAGAATATCATTTACAGGAGGAAAGCCATAGAGCCATGACTCACTGCGACCTTGTATCAGGCTGAGTGACAGGTGCTCTGTTATAATACACCTCAGGGATGAAATGACCAAACTATATAGTGCCATTAGCGGGAGGAATAAACCCAGAGAGCTCTGACTCATCGTGACCCTGCACCAGGTTGTGTAAGTCACAGATGAAAATCATTCGCTGCCCTCAATGTTGTCTTGTTTCAGTGAGGCAGAGGCTTCATCCCTGGCTCTGAATTGACTGTGGGACCTTAGGTGACCCTATGGTTGTTGGTTAGCTAGGTCCTCCATGAGAAACTATTTCCGGATGTTTACTCAAGTTACTAAGTAAAACTCTGACTGTCTGAGCATACCGGTACTTACTGCCATGATGCCATGCCTTCTGGAGACACAGTCATGGTGACTGCCCACCTGGCACTATCTCTCCCCAGCTCTCAAAACTGATTCAGTTTCCTAGTACTTAGGAGGCCAGGCCAACTTGGATTATATAATAAGACTCTTAAACAACTAAAAACTTAAGGGGGAAAAAAAAACAACCCTAGATAGGAGCTCCACAAGAAGACCAAC